TAGCAGATAAAGCTATTAATATGTGAAGTTTAGTGTTGAATGAAAACGTGTGATAATTGCCGAACAGTGGTATGAATGAAAAGTGGGAAGTATGTACAATACTCGCATTAAGAAACTTTATAGAAGTATTAACAAAATCTGGCAAGGATGTATCCCATGTGATACAGGAAAGCATGCAATTTATGCACACACAAAAAAGGCTAAGCCTTGCAAGTAATGTCTGATTGGAACAACGATCTGGCGGACGGACTTATGCAGCGGATCAAAAACCCAATGCAAAAACAGATTCAGGACCTTTTCGCCTTTGTGTTAATCGTGCTCCAACTTGCGCTCACAAGCTGCACCATCAAGCGATCGGTCATCCAGAACTCAAACACTTCATTGAAGCTTCGTGACTGCCAGAGATCTTCGAAAGCCTAAAGTCTTGCAAAGACCCTCTCAGAAGATCTGCCAAAGCCTCTGCGTCACCAGAAAACCAACCAATCTCCGGAGGGCATTCCCAGAAACTACATCATCCAGACGCCAGATCAGCAACCAATCAAAAGCCCCGGGATTCCCTCAAGCAGCCAAACAAGGAAGCTTTTCAGCTGTCACAAACGCAAGTAACAAACAAGGTCTTCTATCTGCTGAAATCGGCGCTGAACTAATTAAGCAGTAAACGTAAGACAATCTCTGCTTTGTGATTTTCTCAGTTTGAATTTAAAGAACTCGTGGAAAACGAGTGTTAGAACTTTGGGAACTTCATGCAAACTCCGTTAACTCTCATTCTTCAGAACTGTATGTAGCCAATAAATTCTTGTTTCATTTATAAAGAAGTATTGTTGTAGCATTTGGACCAATCAGACTCGCCGTTTTTCATTAGATTTAACAAATCAATTATTCATTAGCTTAACAAATAGTCACAGACCCCTCACCCAATAAACATACTGGGTGCCAGGATGTCTGCGAACGACACCAGGCCCCTGGTCACCATGGCAACCACGACACCTTTTGTTAAACCAGATACACTTTATGACCTAATGGCATGTTGAGAGTTCCCCCTCTCACTACATTTTCCATAGGTAAGACACAATGCACAGTAAAAATGGACTCTTCTCTAATTAATTAATAGGAAAACCTTTCTTTGAATGAACACACATATACTTCAGATCATTGTGTATGTTGTTACTCTTCTTGTATATTGTCTTTTGTATTGTATACTGTTTTATGCATGCTTATGATAGAACCACTCGTTCATATATTGTCTTTTATATTGTATACTGTTTTATGCAGGCTGATGATAGAACCACTCGTCCATGTAATCTTACCTATATGTAATCCTACCATGTTTGGTCTCTATGAATTCATCTTCGGATGATCTAATTGAGAGTGCATATTACATGCTGATACCTATGCAACATTTTAGTGTTCTAAGAATCTTTCCTAGTTTGTGCATCAACACCCAAGCGAATTACATTTGCAAATTACCATGCCCTCACACAAAGGGTCGTAAAACCCTCCAGTAACTGCAACCTCCCGCTTGGGATTTCAGCCTTTCTCATTGGACAAGCCCATCTTGAGAGGCGTGAATCTTCTCAGACCTTAAAG